ATGCTCCACTTTCTGCAGCCTTCATATTTTATTTGGGGAAACCTCCCAAGAAAGCGAAGTAAAACGAAATACTTGCGTATTAATATTTACACAGAATGAGGTGTTATCTGGCGCCAAACTTAGTTACAATAGAGCTAAGAAAATTAATAAAAAAGAAAAGATAGTAAAATCGACTTTTCCTTGCATTTAGAAAACAAAATAATAATATGAATCCTATACGTAAAAGTTGCCAATATTTCAAATGTAGGCTAGCAGATGCAGACAGGTTTGCAAACTCCCGCTAACAAGTTTAAAAAATAAGAAATAAATAGGATCAGCCATTTAACTCCTATAGGCAAACCTTTTTACACTGTCATGAGCGCATAAGCCTTTTTTAAAAAAAAAAAAAATCATTTATTAATAGACGGAGTTTCCTCTGTCGCCTGATTACATTTATTACTCTTTTCCCCACAGCACTAAAACAAGATATAAAACTGATCGATATTTTAGAGACAACAAAAACAATGACGACTATTCGGCCCATGTCACTTATTAAATTTTAAGTTACCCCATTCATTCATTCATTCATTCATTCATTCATTCATTCATTCATTCATTCATTCATTCATTTATATCAACGACATTATTTAGAGCGGTCTACATGAGCTCATCCAGGGAGGTTATATGAGGACACATGTAGGGATTAAAAAAATAAAAGAAACTCATGTTGAGAGCTCACTCATAATGCACGCTGTGTTTTCACTTTCTTCAGTTTTTGCCGCTTTCATTTTTCGTTTTTCTGTTCAATAAATCCCCGCAGAGTGAGACAGCGTCGTGTTTTAGGGGGAACTGAAAACAGCGCAAAGTGAACCTAGGAAGTCCTTAGATCGCTCACTTTGAACACTTTTTCAGAAAACACGAGCCGTGGCGAGCGGACACGAGCGTACCGGGAGTGATTCATCACTCTTTTTTTCCTAGTAGACGATCTTCGACGAGGACACGCTGCGTCCCGTCTGTTGTCGTGGCGACCGGTAATCACAACACTACCTGTTGAGGACCAGACCTTGAAAAATAGCACCGTGTTTCGTTGGAAGCAGGAAGATAACGGAGTAAAAAGTGTGAGAGGACGCGGTATCCATCAATACCGCACATTACACCACAATGTCGCAGCGCCACGTCGTTCAAGGTGAACTTCATGAGGTGTAGTGATGAGGCCGAGCGGATATTTCACTCCACTGTTTTCACGTCTTCCGTCTGTTCTGTCACTTCTGTTCTCTGCAGTTTTCGAACAATATCAGAAAGCGAGGATGCAGTTTGTGCAAACTGTCGCTGATCTCGCGAACCGGCCACAAAATATAGAACTACTCCAAAATGCAGGTAAGACAGCCGACATCTGCTTCCTTTACTCACTCCTTGCCAGGGTTGGGACAAAAAATCGACTAGAGACCGGCCCACCAGGTGTTATAAGTAAAGCCATAAAGCTTTTGAAAACAAATGCTGTTGTGACAGTGATGTACACTGTCTTGTTGGTATATATGTATGATTTCTATACATTTGACATCAGTTGACCACTTTGCTTGAAAGATTCAGATAATTATTTATTAAAAGCTAGACATTTTAAATGAGAATAAGAAAGAAACATATTTTTTCGTGCCCCCCTTTCCTCCTTAATGTCCTACCTGGCCCACTGGCAAAAGTTACCAGCTGTCAGCTACGTAGAAAATGATCCTGGTGTTGTCTCTCAGAAACAGTTCATAACTTCCCTTCAACTTATTCATGTCACCTAAAAGGTAAACCTGTTTCTCCGTCACCTGTTCAGCTCTGATGATTCAGTAAGGACATCTCCTGGTTTCATCATGACCAGCACCTTTACGGCTGTGGCTCCAGCAAACATCAGCTGATACTAGAACGTAATATTAAATAAAATATCAAGCTTAAACGTGCTTCTGTGGTTTAAGCGCAACATCTGCTGGTTTCCTCTTTCTGGGACAAAGTGGGCGATAAACAAACAAGAGCCCAGCCCAGCTGTGCTCCTGCCCCCTCCTCTCCTCACCTCTGTTTTCCTGCAGGTGTGATGTCCCTGCTGCGCCCCTTGATGCTTGATGTTGTCCCCAGTATCCAACATACGGCAGCTTTGGCTCTGGGCCGCCTGGCAGACAACAGTGAGGACCTCGCAGAGGCTGTGGTGAAGGAAGACATCTTGCCACAGCTGGCCCATTCCCTGGCCTTGCAGAATGTGAGCATCCAATCTTCCTGACAATTTTCTACTTCAGTTTGATTTTCCAGTTTTGATCTGTTTGTGTGTGTGTGTGTGTGTGAAAGAGAGAGAGAGAGAGAGAGAGAGAGAGAGAGAGAGGAAAGAGGCAGTCAGTGGCTGTCACCCTTTAGGACCTCAGGGTCAGCCATTTGAATGTGAGAATGTGTGTTGGGGTAACTTGCCCGCCTGGGGGCTACTTCAAAACCTAAGAGCAAGCAGACCTTTGTTTCCTCTTTCTTTTTGCTGTCAGCCCACTCAGAGGCTCAAAATGCAGTTTTTTTTCTTGTTTTCTTAATATTAAAATTTGTTGTTATTGTATTTGTCAAATAAGACAAAAGTAAAACCAAACACACAAAAAGCCCTCCTCTAAAACAAGTAGAAAATAAGATCACAGTGCTTTGCAGATTTTAAAAGTGGGGTGACAACCCCCAACATACCATCTGTTTACAGAGACCAACCTGGGGCCTCCTTAAAAGCTCAAAAATAAATATCAGAGTGAGATTTCTGTGGTAGCTCACGGAGCAGAAAAAAACACGCCTTTTCCAAAATCTCCCAGGATCTAGTGATTTTGTAAGCCACAGCACGGGAAGGGAATTGCAATGTTTCATCATGGGGTAAAAAGAGATCATTTTAGAAATTTTTTGTATTGATTTGCAGTGATTTCTTTTCCTGTAGGGGAGCAAGTGGACCGAAACCCCACCCGACAGCAAAATACTAATCAGGAAGCCCAACAGAATTAACACATCCCCTCACTGCACTGTGTGGCTGTATATATTATTTTATTTACATACTTTGTAGGAAAGCTTCAGAGCACAGAAGCCATATTTCTGGACATTTTTAGAGAAACCCAAACAGCAAAAATGTAAAATATTTAATATGATTTACGTAAGATGACAGTTTAATTGAAGGGTGCAGTTCATTTTAAAAACTGATGCAGGTGTCTGTGTATGTTTGTGTGCAGAGGTTCTATAAGAAGGCAGCAGCATTTGTTCTGCGTGCAGTAGCCAAACACTCCCCAGAGCTGTCGCAGGCTGTGGTGGCCTGCAGGGGGGTGGACGCTCTGGTTCTGTGCCTGGAGGAGTTTGACCCCGGGGTGAAGGAGGCTGCTG